TGTGTGTGTGTGTGTGTGTGTGTGTGTGTGTGTGTGTGTGTGTGTGTTTTACATTATTATATTATTAGAGTAATACTGGCTTCATAAAAGGAGATCTGGAGTGATCCTTCTGTTTCTAGTTTTCTGAATAATTTTAAAAGTGTTGTTATAGGTCTCCTTAGAAAGTTTGGTGGAATTCTTCTATGAATCTAGGCATTTTTTGAGGGTTTTTAAAAATTACTGTTTCAATTGCCTTATTTCTTATGGGTCTTTGCTAGTTAGTGATCTCTTGTTGCTTTAACTTTGGTGATACAGAATCATGGTAGATGTAGACACGGCCTTTCTGTAGTCGCTGGTCCCAGACTGACTAAAAAGTGGAAAGCGAGCTCAGCACCTGTATCCACCTCTCCATGCTTCCTGACTGTGGGTGCAGTGTGAGCTCCACCTGCCCCAGCTAGAGCTGCAACCTCTGCCATGCCATCCCAGTCATGGTGGACAGTACTTTAAACTGTGAGCCCAAATGAATCGTCCTTCCTTAAGTTACTTTTGTCAGGCATTTTGTTTTAAACAAGAAAGGTGACTCATATGCTTCTGCTTTGTTAATTTTTGATGTGGAATATCTAATTAAGTATGGCTTACCTTAGTTAAAAATAAGGAATTAGAAAATAAAATAGACAATTGTCAACATAAAGTGACCTAATGACTCCAGTGTGACTGGGCATGAGACTTATGCAGAAACCCTGCAGACGGAACCTCTCTGCCATTGTAGACTTCTAACAGAAATTTAAAAATCAGGAGAGTGAGAGCAAAGGCTGACAGTAGAAGCACCAGGCTGGGCATGGTGGTTTACTTAGGAGGCAGAGGCAGAGGTTGATCTCTGAAAGTTTGAGGCTAGCCTAGTCTACATAGTAAGTTTCGGGAGAGCCAGGACTACAAAGTCAGACCCTGTCTTTAAAAAAAGTAGCAGGCTTGGGGACCAAGGAAGAAACATGAACTAAAAATGGTGATTGAGTAATGACATGAGAGTTGACTCACTGATCAGATATGGGGTCTTCGATGTCATCTCTGCAAAAACAAGGAAGCTATCATCAATAGATGTTTGATTTCAATTATGGAGATTTATTTGACCCATTCATTGGTACAGAACATCTCTGTCTTACAGTGTGTTGCCAGTTTCTCAGTGGGTCAGCTTGACACCAAGGGACCTGAAGACTCTTCTTGACATCTTAGACAAAACAAATGTGAGACCTGACTGGTATTTCTAGGTAGAGAGTAGTGCAGAACCCCAGGTAATTACTGAACCTCTGAGGTCTTAGTTTCCTCCTTTGTAAAAAATGGATGCTCCATGTGTTTGTGTAAGCACAACACTGCTTGATGGAGCTTATCCATGCTGGAAAATGGATAACCAGTCAACATCAGCTGTTACTGTATTCGGCTTAACTTCTGCCTTCCCAGCATTCACAGCATCCCATTTCCAGCACTGATCTTACTCCTCCTGAGTCCTCTTGCTGTTTCTGGATGAACAGCCTTCCCAATGTCACAGGCAAAAGCAAAATTGATCTCAAATGTTTTTCTTGGTGTCTACAGCCTGTGGTGTTCCTGTCTTTTCTAAAGCCTCTTTTTGATAGACATATATGTATCTGTGTAGTAGGACTAGTACACACAGGATTTTATTGCTTTGCTTTAGTTTAGTTTATATTCCATTTACCTTCTGATTGTATCTGCATATTAATCATGAACTTCTTATAGGTGTACAAGCCTGAAAGAAGCTCTAGAGAGAACATGTTTCCTTCCCCACAACAGATTTCCCATCAGTCAAGTTCCTTGCCCAAGGTCACAGAGCAAATGATGGCACATCAGCACACAGTTCAGAGCTGTTGCTCCATGCTTCTTACCTTTGGCTTCAAAATAATAATAAGCCATGAAATTTTTCCCAATGTTGTTCTCGCTGCGGAAGTACACGAGGGTCATTGAGCTGGAGTGGGATGCAAAGGCGATGTGAAACCCACGGCAGGGCTTCCCCAAGGACTTTGTAGAAGATGGGGGGCCATCTAGGATTTCAAAATACTCATTGGAGCAGTCGAGGCTGGGGAAGCAAATATCATGAATTCCACTTAACCGGCTCATCAGGAAGTTAGGAGGTTATTTTGTGAGTAAGAATGCTGGGGACAAGCACAAGGCCTGCTTGTGATGTGACACAAGTGTGGTCGCTTTATCCTGTGTTTTTCCTTGAAAAATACTGTCTGGAAGATGGGACGCTCAGCTGATGACAGAGAAAGAAGACTGACCTAGTGGACCCCTCTGAGGAGCTGGGAACTGCTGTGGCCATAGGGTACGACACAGTCTTTTCTAAGAAGCTATGTGCTTACGATACAACCCGGCAGTCACACTATTGAGTACTCATCCCTGATGAATGAACTTCTATTGGCATAAAACCTTCCCTGAATGTTTCCAGAAGCTACATTTGCAGTAATTGAAGACTAGAAACAACCTGGATGTTCCTCAGACTGGAAAGGATTAACCAGCTCGGCACAGCCATACGAATGAAATCCTTTTCCACAGTAAAGAGCAACACCCCCTGGATAGTGCAGCAATCTGAATGGATCTTAGGGCCACTGTGATGAGCGAAAGTCAACTCCCCAAACTATACGGTGTGTGATTCCATTCGCAGGACATTATTGAAATGGCAATGTGCAGAGGTGAAGAATGGATTACGGTTAAGAGATGGAGACGGGAAACCCAAGGACACAAAGGTGGAAGGGTAGCTCCTTTGGGCAATGTACCTAGAATGCAACGGTGGGTTTCGTGAAGCCGTTCACAAAGTTAGTCTGTGTGGAACTGCTCACACAAAGTATTGCATGTAAAAATCGTTGGGAATTGAATACAGGTTTGGGTCTGCTTACTAGTAACACACTACTTTCAGTTTGCTGGCTTTCATAATGTGCTAGCGCCGGGATGCTTGTGAGGGGTACACAGAGCTGTGTGTTGTCTTTTGCAGTTTCCTTTGTGCTCACAGTTCTTTCAGAATGACAAGTTGAAACTACATGAAACAGTCCTTTGCACATGAGGATCAGTGCAGGGATGAACAGTTAAAACGCTGACCTGCACTGTATACTCACAGTATGTACCACTTACTCAAGAGATGGGAACGCCAGCCGCACGTGATCAGAGGCGCCGGCCTTGATTTCCCACACACAGGTTATATTGTCGTGCATTTCGTTCATTGGGGGATTCCTAATTTTTCCAGGTGCTTTGGTAAGAACTCCCCCACACCGAGATTTTTCTAGAAGAAGAAGAAGAGGTTGTGACAACAAACCTGCACAAGCACACCAGGCCTCATGCCAACATGCATGGGAGAAAGGTTCACAAGAAAGTCCCCGCTCCTAGCTGAAGTGCTGCAGGTAGTCAATGGCTCCTGAGGGAGAGTCGGTTTTATTTATGGATAAGGCCCCCGATAGGTTGTCCTTCCTCAAACCCTAAACCCTTATAGGTGTTAGAAGGGTGAGGGTGGGATGGAAATGGTGCAGCTGTGGTATACTCATTGTATGAAATTCCAAGAAAACTTCAGCTTTGAAACTTTAGTTTTCATTGTTCAGTTTACTCCTTCGTTGTTTCCAGTTGAGACTGAGCCTGTGTGGGATGTCTATGAATGTGATGATAACGGTGGCTGGCCCACCATCAGCCATCATTATTTTAAAGATGCTATTAAAAATCTATTAGGTAGAAAGAAGTTGCCTTGAGTGGTTCACCTTTCTATTAATGATAGCATTTTACAGCCACTGGTCCACCCATCTGTCTGGCTTTTGCTTTTTTTCAACCTGGTTGTCTGTATATCTGTTCTTTATAGTGGACCCATTCTGAAGTGATGGCTTTGGGTGCTGACTGGCAACATCATTACATAAATGGTTGCATGTCTAACCTTCACTCATGGTGCTCCAGTTGGAAGAACACAATAGTGGCACCATGTCTTTGCTTAGAACTCCTGCTGTGACTGACTGGAGATAAAATCACATCCCTAAGTACACCGGCCTTTTCTTGGGATTCTTCATAGATCAATTTCAGTGGGGTGACCTAGACCATGTGGTGATATTCTGGTATAGTTTTCTTGAAGAATCACTTTAAGGCTTGATCAATAAGGAAGAAGACATCCAAGGACATTGTGTTCTCACCTGGACCCGTTGTTCCTTCCACGGCAGCCACTAGGGGATCTGCAAACACAAAAAGACAATGTGGACCAAAAGGTGCCACAGGCGAGCACAGCTGCCTGTATAGGAGAATCATGAATTCATGGCAAACACAGTGCCCCAGCCCCTCCCAAACCTCCTGAGGAGAGATCTGAGCAGCACAGGGCTTTACGGTACAGTATTCACGCAGTGCTGACACAGAGCCCTCTTAGAGTTCCATGGATTACTCTCTTGTCCCAGAGGAAAAGGAGAGGATTTTTAAATTAAGGGTTTAAAAAATAAAGATGTAAAATTCTAGCTCCTAAAGCCTCATCCAGTAACCCATGGGGCTGGGGATTATAAGCTTAGAATGTAGAAATAAGAAGACATAGTACTTCAGGGGCCAGACTGAGATGGTGTGGTTGGTAGTGCGGCCAGCCAGCCTAGCCTAACCAGTGAGCTCCATGCTAATAAGAGACCTTGTCTCAACGAATAAGATAGACAGTGCCTTGAGGTTGTGCTCTCTCTCTCTCTCTCTCTCTCTCTCTCTCTCTCTCTCTCGCACACACACACACACCCCCACACACGCTTTCCTTTGACTCTGTGTTGCTAAGAGATACTGAGTCAGGACTTAAGGTTGCAGGAACTTCTCCAGGCTCCCGACAGCTCCCTTCTAGCAACTCTCTGCTCAGTATCATCCACTGAAGATTATCCTTCTGGATCAATTCCTTCCCACCTGGCAGGGCTGACAGCTAGTGGAGGATGTAAATGAAACTTTTCCAGAACTTGGGATATCAGCTTTATTCCTGATTCTCTCTCTCTCTCTCTCTCTCTCTCTCTCTCTCTCTGACTGAGAATTATCTGAGAGCATGACATCCAGGACCTTAAGATTTGAGGAGAGAGAGAGAGAGACTGAGCAGGAGAGCTCTGGGGGGATGAAGGAACACCAACAGCAATGGAAGTTCTGAGGAGCCTGGGTTGTACCAGGAACAAGGCAGAGACATAGAGGGAATGGCAATGGGAATTGCCTCACTGGACAGTATTTGTCTCACTAGACAGTCCCCACTGGGAAGGAAGTGTCTCGGCCACAGTTTGCATTTCAACCACGTCCTACCCAACCATGTGGCACCGTCTCTATGCAAACCTCAAAACAGACTGAATGGAGTGTTCTACAGAACTCTGATGGATCAGTTATCCTGTGTGTAGGATGCACAGTGGTAATGGGGCTGGGCGGGATGACTCTGAAGCTGCTGTCTGCTCTCCTCTTAGACAACTGGGTGATTGCACATTCTCTTTCTGCCACTCCACTGCCTTGAAGCATAAGTCAAATCCAGTTTTCAGCAGAGCCTCTTCCCCAAGCTCACAGTGAGCACACACGTCAACATCGTCTTCCCTACCTGATAGTGCGGTCGCTACATATTCAGCATCTGCAAAAGTGAGAGATGAAAACAGTTGCTGTGAGTGTCTGACATGCTGGCACGTGTTCAATGGTTGTTTTCACACACGATGTGATAATTAGTTCTTGTTCACTGTCAACTTAACTGGATTTGGGACCACCTCTGAACACGTCTGCAAGGTGTTTCCAGAAAGGTTTGGCTGAGGATGAAAGTCTATAACCTGATGGGAGGTGGTCCCAGGTTGAATGAAAGGGAGAAAAGTAAAAGAAGAAAGCACTACCCACCCACCCCCAGTCTGATTTGTGGCTTCGGGTGAAATGGGACAAGCTCATTCACACTTCCACCACCACCATGGTAGAGTGTATCAAAGCACACGCTTCCTTCCTTCCTCTTTCACCAGTATTTTGCTACGGTGAGAAGAAGCATCACGAATGTAGGTGTGCAGGGTGCTCTCCTGGAAGGGCAGTGGGCTTTACCTGAACAGATGACGCTGGCATCTTCACTGTGATCACAGTTGTGGGAGAACCAGCCAATGTGGGAGCACTCCTCCAGGTGCTCCTCGTGTCCCTTGCAGTGCACATTGTCAAGGAGAATCTTCCCAGAGCCTTCTCCAAAGTAAGCTTCACTCAGGGCTGACACAGCCCAGCCGCACCCCAGTTGCCTGCAGATGATGTTTGCTTCCGGAAGGTCCCAGAGGTCATCACACACAGTCCCCCAGACTCCCTGGTAGAAGAGCTCTACACGGCCCGCGCAGCTCCCGTGGTTGCCGGCCAGCCGCACAGGGACCCGGCCTCCTGTGGAAGAAAATGGAAGCAGGGAGATTGAAAACTGCCTTCTCTGCCCACTGATGGCTAACATCTACAACCCAGTCTCTGTTCTTATCTTCCCTGAGCCGCCCAAAGCAGCCTCTGCAATGACCGCCCTGTCTGCTTCACAGGACCAATGGTGTTTTCCTTATCTACATCCTGTTTCAAGGCAGCTTCACTCCTGTTCACTCCTGCAGAAATAGCCATCATTCTCTTTATAGCACAGCACTGAGATGCTCCCAGTGACAGGTTTGGCTTCTTCCCTCCTCTATTGGCACTGTTCTAGGGGCCTTGGATCATCTTGGCTGTGAGAGCTTGCAGAGGTAGTTTATTTCCTGACCACCCTGGAGCACCATATGAATTAGCTCAGGCTAGCACGCTGCATGATGAAGACATGTAGCTTGTCACCTCACTCACTTCAGATGACAGCTCTATTGCTTCCGGACATGTGAGGGGAGCAATCCTAGGACACACATCTTCAAATGGTTCTCCAGTGAGCCACATGCATGCATAGACTAAAGCCACAGCCAGCCAGCCTGACCTAGAACAGCAGAACTGTCCAGCCAACTTGTAAACTCAAGTAATTTTTAAAAGTGGTGATTATTTTATACCTCCATGTTTGGGGGCTAGTTTTGCATGGCAATAGGTAATCTAAATATTTCTTTATCCATACTCCCTTTTAGATAACCTACCCTACTCATAGCCAAAGAAAGACCTGGGGTCAAGGTCACAGATCCTGGAACGGAGTCTACCTGGTTAAGCTGGTAACAGGAGTTCACATTTCCTCCCTGAAGAAATATATATGTTTGCACTTCTTTCAACCGTGGGCAGAGGGGCTTATTATCAAGGAAGGTAGTGATTAATGCAGAGATTTATAACTGTTCAAAGTGCTGAGAATAAGTGACAGTGAATGATCAGCCATAGGAGAAATATTTAAAACCCTCCCTCCTGCACACATACACCTTGGTTGGTACTGTGTAGCTCACTAGGTTTCCATGAGCTCTTTTGTGAGTTGTTCCCTCTTTCTGTTTTAGCAGTAACACAGAGGTGTCTGTCCAAGAGCATAGCAGCCACCTAGGTCTATGGTAATTAGGTCTCAGTTCTCAGAAGCCTCGGCCTTGTGAGGCTTCCAAGGAAGTGTCACATTTATCTTCTTAATTTTCCCAGAATATCAGGTGGTGTTGTGCTTCCTCTGTAAGGACCTTGGATAATAAGGGCGAGATGTTGGGATCTGAGAAATGCGAACAGTGGATTCCCCAAGGCTCCTTTACTCTCTTTGGGATTTGTGAATTTTATAGTTTTCATCAACTCCCATATATATATATATATATATATATATATATATATATATATATATATATATATATATGTAAAGCAAAACAAATATTTACTTATTTATTGTGACTTTAAAATTTTTTGGAATATACTATCAAAAATGGTTAAGCCTAAAGCTTAAATCACATATCAAACCCTATGCATTAATAGTGGGTGACTTCAACATCCCACTCTCACTAATGGACAGGTCATCCAGACAGAAACTAAACAGATAAATAATGGAACTAACAGATATTATGACCCAAATGGACTTAACAGATATCTACAGAACATTTCACTGAAACACAAAAGAATATACCTTCTCAGCACCTTATGGAACCTTCTCAAAAATTGACCATACACTTGGACACAAAGCAAGTCTCAACAGATACAAGAAAATTGAAATAACCCCTGTTGCCAGACCACCATGAATAAAAGCTAGATTTCAACAATAAAAGAAACAACAGAAAGCCTACAAACTCATAGAAACTGAACAACTCCCTACTCAATGACCACTGGGTCAAGGAAGAAATAAAGAAAAGTTAAAAACTTCCTAGAATTCAATGAAAATGAATGCACAACATACCCAAACTTATGGGACACAATGAAAGCTGTGCTAAGAAAAAAATTCATAGCACTAAGTGCCTTCATAAAGAAATTGGAACGATCTCATACTAGCAATTTAAAAGCATACCTGAAAGCTCTAGGAAGGAAGGAAGGAAGGAAGGAAAGAAAGAAAGAAAGAAAGAAAGAAAGAAAGAAAGAAAGAAAGAAAGAAAGAAAACCCAAGAGGAGTAGACTGCAGGAAATTATTCAACTCATGGCTGAAATCAATAAAATAGAAAAAATAGAATACAAAGAATCAATGAAACAAAGAGTTGGTTCTCAGAGAAAATCAACAAGATTGACAAACCCTTAGCTAAACTAACCAAAAAGCAGAGAGAAAAAATATCCAAGTTAACAAAATCAGAAACAAAAAGAGAGACATAACAACAGACACTGAGGAAAACATTAGCTCTTATTTCAAAAACCTGTATTCCACAAAATTGGAAAATCTAAAAGAAATGGGCAATTTTCTTGATAGGTATAGCTTATCAAATAAAGTTGAATTGAGATTAGGTAAACAATCTAAATAGGCCTAGAACCCCTAAGGGTTATAAAACATAAAAACCCTGGGCCAGATGGTTTTAGTGCAGAATTCTACCAGAAAAACTAGTACTAATACTCCCCAAATTATTCCACAAAATAGAAATAGAAGGAACTCTGCCAAATTTATTTGAGGTCACAGTCACCCTGTTACCTAAACCACACATTCAACAAATAAAGAGAATTTCAGACTAATTTCCCTTGTGAACATTAATGCAAAAACACTCAATAAAATACTCGCAAACAGAATCCAAGAACACATCAAAAATATAATCCACCATAATAAAGTAGGCTTCATCCAAAAAATGCAGAGATGGCTCAACATTTGAAAATCTGTCAATGTAATCCACCATGTAAACAAACTGAAAGAAAAAAAAAAACATGATCATCTCCTTAGATACTGGAAAAGCTTTTGCCAGAATCCAACACCCATTCATGATAAAAGTCTTGAGGAGAGCAGGAATACAAGGCACATAACTAAATATAATAAAGGCAATATACAGCAAGCTGATAGCTAATATCAAATTAAATGGAGAGAAATTTAAAGCAATTCTACTAAAATCAGGGACAAGATAAGGCTGCGCATTCTCTCCATATCTAGTCAATATAGTACTTGAAGTGTTAGCTAGAACAATAAGACAACTAAGGGAGTTCAAGGGGATACAAATTGGAAAGGAAGAAGTCAAAGTATCACTATTTGCATATGATATGATAGTACATATAACCCCAAAATTCTAACAGAGAACCCCTACAGCTGATAAACACCTCAGGGAAGTATCTGGATACAAAATTACCTTTAAAATAACGGTAGCCAGCTGGGTGTGGTGGCACACATCTGTAATTCCAGCACTCAGGGAGGCAGAAGTAGGTGGATCACTGTGAGTTTGAGGCTAGCCTGGTCTACAAAGTGAGTCTAGGGCAGCCAAAGCTATACAGAGAAACCCTGTCTCAGAAAACAAAATACCAAAAAACAAAACAAAACAAAAAACAAAAAACAAACAAAAACCAAATCAGTAGCCTTCCTATATACAAATAATCAATGGTCTTAGAAAGAAATCAGGGAAACAGTACTCCTCACAATAGTCACAAATAATATAAAATATCTCAGCGTAACTCCAACCAAGCAAGTGAAAGACTTGTATGACAAGAATTTCAAGACTTTGATGAAAGAAATTGAAGAAGGTATCAGAAGATGGAAGGTTTCCCATGCTCATGTATTTGTGGGATTAACATAGGAAAAATAACCATCTTACCAAAGCAATTTACAAATTTATGCATTCTCATCAAAATTCCAACACAATTCTTTACAGACTTTGAAAGAACAATTCTCAATTCATATGGAAAAACAAAAAGCCAGGATTAGCTAAAACAATTCTGTACAATAAAAGAACTTCTGGAGGTATCACCACCCCTGATTTCAAGCTGTATTATAGAGTAATAGTAATAAAAACTGCATGGTATTGGCATAAAAACAGACAAGTTGTTAAATGGAATCAAATCGAAGATCCAGAAGTAAATCCACACACCTACAGACACTTGGTTTTTTACAAAGAAACTAAAATTATACAATGGAATAAGAAAGTATTTCCAACAAATGGTGCTGGTCTAACTGAATGTCTTCCTGAGGAAAAACGAAAATAGATCCATATTTATCACCCTACACAAAACTCAAGACCAAGTGGACCAAGACCTCGACATAAAACATAAAACCGGAAACATTAAACCGGATAGAAGATAAAGTGGAGAATAGCCTTGAACTCATTGGCA